GCATCATCACATCATCCAACCAAAAAGCATGTCACAGTCAATACACAGTACGAGCATTCCTTGATTTTGTTATTCAGAATGAACCAACGTAAGGGACGGACCATTAGATTTTGGGGGGGGGGGGGGGGGTTGGGCAAAAACCCAAAACATTTCGAGCACAGCTTTGAATAGTGAAAAAAAATCGCGCATAAGAAAAGTGTCAGAAAAAAATTCCAAATTATGTCCAAAAAATTCCTGCTCAGCCATAAGGCGTAAAAAAAATTCCTGCACAAAATAAATTGCAACTCGGGCAGCTCGCGTGACGCCGTGACGTAATTCTTAAATTTCCAAGAATCTTGTGTCAACAATTCCAAGAAACTCATTTGAATTCACATTTTTGCTTGAACCAGTCGTAAATTTATGAAAACCCAAGGTAAGAACTAAATAACATTTATTTTAGGCCTCAAGTTGTTCACACACAGCTACTTATTTAGAGGATACCCACGAGCGAACCAGGATTTCGGCTTTTATTTGACTTTTGATTAGAGAAAATTTGACTTAAGCTCACCAAACGGCTCAAAGCTCATTTGCGATGAACAGAATATCTCTGTAACGAGATAGTGACGTTGAAGCCAGTAAAATGTTTCAAAAGTTCACTTCAGTTAATTTTTTTCCTTCCATATTGAGAAAATCGCAATTTACTTCTTCAATATTCATTGTAAAACTCTAGCTTCTGACACACTCTAGCTCTAGCTTCTCACTTTTCTGATCGTTGCACTAGTTTTGAAATACTTTCCATCAATTATTGCTGTTTTTTGGTTGTATCACAGCGTGGGACAATCACAACAGAGCTCCAAACTAGGTGAAAGCCCAAAGATGGAATTAGAATTTAGTAGTTGATTTTTGAGTAGCCGGAGGAAAACCGGAGAACCCGGAAAAAACCCTTTGAAGCACAGGAGAGAATCAGCAAACAACTCTACTCACATACGACATCGAGATCAGCAGGACTCGAACTCTGGCCGCATYAGAAAGGCGGCGCATTATCAGCGCATGCCACCAGTGCTTCCCAATCTCGACAATATCTAGAAGCAATTTTGTTTTGAAAAGCAAGAAACTACATCATCAGGACAACAGTGAAATTTCACATGTGAAATTAAAAATTACTCCTGAAATTTCACCACGTAATACCACCACAGAGGACAAATTACTCCCAAATTCAAGGTGAAATTTCACATGTAATTTGTAATTTCACGTTTTAAATTTCACTGTTGCCATGGTGATGTGGCTTCCTCTGCTTTTAAAACAAACTGGCATCTAGAAAGTTAGGATGTTAGGAAGGCTCAGGAAATTTCACTCGCCACCATTTTGATTACCCATATACAAATCTGGCATTTGCTGCCTGGAAATCCATACTAGTGACACCTCAATTTTGCAAATTTTCTCAATTTTGATTGGCCAACTGTCTTTTCCAGATCAGCTGCATGGGTGCTGATGAAAGGAAGGCGGGAGTGGTCCTCTGACTTGTTTCTTAGTATCGCGGGCTCCCAATYGAACTCACATTCAAACAAACCAAAACTGTAGCTGTCTGGAGCTGAGGTTAAAGGGTTTTTCAAGATGATGAAATCCATGGCCATTCAGTTATTTTTGCTGTCCTTTGTGCTAGTGACGTTCTCATGCAATCCAGGTTCCAACAGCGTTCAACACRAGGAGTTGAGTAAAGACCAGTCAGGCTTGAGATGGCTGACAGATATCATCACTTGGATCACATGGCTACTTCGCAGTATTCTTTCTGTCGTTTACTTCATTATTTATACAGTTGTACTATTTTTGAACTATTTTATGGCCACATTGTTCAGCCTTTTGCATCAGTTCATCAAACTCATTGAGTTCCTTTGGTACCTTGTTCGGCTTGTTCTGCAAGCTAGCCACAACTTCCTGTCATCTTGCTTTTATAATACAAGAATGCGATCAATCGTTCAAAACTCATACATATTCCTTAAAGATCTGCTTGTATCTACTGCAAGAACTTTCCTATCGTTAATGAAAACGATTCTTGACTTTTTACTTCACATAATATTCAACATGCCAAAACTGTTAAAAGTCATAATTGATCTGCTGTATACTGTTATCCTGTGGTGTGGTCATTTTTTGCTGTTTATTGGAAAAAATATCATATCCCTAGCATTCAAAATRAGCCAAAGTACGATGCATTTGTTTCAAAGGATATGGGCTGCTATTAAAACATTTGGCCCAATCATTTTCACTTATACAAAATCTTTATTCTATGGAGTATTGCAGTTTATTCAAGCTATCTTCCCAATCTTCTATGATGTCATAATGACAATTTTGAAGACAATTGGATTGTTTGTTGGACACTGTGGTAGATTTGTATTGAACACTTTCATAGCGCTTGCAAGGTTTGTTTATAACATGGCTAGAACCATTATAGAAATGGGCACTCAGCTTATCCCAAGCATCAAAGCAATTAAAGCATTTGGTACATCGACATTGAACACTTTAAAAGTCGTAATAGACCTGCTTTATACTGGTATCCTATGGTGTGGCCATTTTTTGCTGTTAATTGGAAAGAATATCATATCCCTTGCATTCAAAATAAGCCAAACTATGATTCATTTGTTTCAAAGGATATGGGCTGCTATTAAAACATGTGGCTCAATTATTTTCACTTGTGCGAAATCTTTATTCTATGGAGTATTCCAGTTTATCTTCACAGTCTTCAATAATGGCATGTCAATTTTGGGTACAATTGGATTGTTTGTGGAACACTGTGTCAAATTTGTATTGAACATTTTCATAGATCTTGCAAGGCTTGTTTATTACATGGCTAAAACCATTACCACGGGCACTCCGTTTACCCCAAACATCAAAGCAAGTAAAGTATCTGTCATGAGCATGTTTCTAATTATCACTTCCATAACATTGGCAGTTTTTAAAATCAATATATTTATTCTTGGCTTTGGCTACTTGGAATCTTTAATCCAGTATGTGACAGCATTGAAAAGATCAGTGAATAATCAACAAACAGTCATTGACAATAGCAGACAAAGTTCTAATTCCACACCTCRAAATGAAAAAAGTTTGCGACGTCAACTGGAGCTTGAAAAAGACAAGACTTTGTGTGTTGTTTGCCAAGGTGAAGTGAAAAAGATTCTCTTTTTACCATGTCGACACTTGTGCACATGTGTCAAGTGTGCTAAACTCATTGATACAAAATTTGACCAACTCTGTCCTCTATGCCGTACTCAAGTTAAATCTACGATGGAGGTGTATTTATAAAATAAAACTCCAGAAGTGAAAACTAAAACTTGCAGCCAGCTCCACAGCAGACCATAAAAAAGTCTTGTACTAAAATTGTAGCACTGCCAACAGCATGGCAACTTGTTATTTGTTTAGTATTAATCTAAAAGATAACCAAGGTATTGTTAAATTGTTGAAT